GTATGACTTCAGGATTGAAAGGATCGATTCAAAGCGCAAAAGTGAGTGCTTACGAACTTTTACAAGTTTAGAAATTTACCCGGCTAGCTACCATTATCCTCTTATATCACCTACTCACTAACTGTACCTGCATTTAGCTTTGCTAGCTTGTTAGCTAACTTTTGACTTTACCTATAAGCAAACTACTTCCTATCTCTTTATGAGTCAAGATAACTTCTATAGCTGACTGAGCTAACATTAAGATGCTAATACATTATGTAAACTCTCTTGTCAGTTGATTCTCACACTTAAAATATTTGCAGAAGTGGCAACTGAACACATACACAGTTAATAAATCTGTAAACATAGCTGATGTCAACAAACTTCCTCCAGCTGTCCTGTGAGTCTTCCTCTGTGTTGGACGTCCTGTGTGTCATGTGCTGTTTTGGCAGACTTTGTGAATTGCTTTGCAACGCCACTGGCTGCCATGGTATAAATTTAACGGTGGATTGGTGACACATTAGCAGGCTGTTTGTGTCCGTGTTAAATGTTGTTTGTCACCCATATCTCACATTGACTAACCAAACAGTCATGGCAGAGACACAATATGAGCATTATAGCACTGTTACTAGCTCTTACACCCAGGTTCCTCTGTGATTAACTTTACTTTGTTATACTTTCATTATACTATAATAAGAGCATTGCCCATCTCCTTGCCATATATCATAGGTAAAAGGGAAGTAACCACATACTAATGTGTAAGGATATAAATAATAATGAGTGAACTTGGCCTGTCAGTGTTGCCCCAAAGCATTGAAGACTGTCTATGTAATGGCAAAATAAAACAAAATATTGTCTAGGATTTGGGTCCAAAACTAGAGCTGTCTCTTCTTAGTCGATTGGCTGACTAGATTTACTCTTTTTTACCATTTAGGCTATTTTTTGACAAGATGAAAGTTTGGTGAAATGAGAAAATGCGAAACATTTACTGGTGCTGGCTCCTCAGATGTGAAGATTTGCTGCTTTTCACTGATATATATAATTGTAAATTGAATATCCTTGAAGTCTGGAGCTGTTGCTCTGGCAAAACATGCAATTTGATTATGTCATCTTGGTTTCTGGGAAATTGTGGTCAGCACTTTATACAGTGCCTGACCAGTACTGGATTTTAGAGGCCAATATTACATCGATATCAAGGAGTATTAAAATCTAATAACAATATTTGGAATGACAGTAATTTTTAAAAACATATATAAACAACAATGTTGACACTGATCCCTTAGATTTGCTTTTAATCCATTCACAATTACATATAATTTTAAGTGTAATATTGTTGAAGTTTTGGACTGTTGCTCTGGCAGAACATGCAATTTGATTATGTCATCTTGGTGTCTTGGAAATCGTGGTCAGCACTTTTTACAGTGCCTGACCAGTAGTGGATTTTGGAGGCCACTATTACATCGATAACAAGGAGTATAAAACATCTGATAATGCTATTTGGGCCAATATAGGTTTGTTTTTAATATATATAAACAACACTGTCGACACTGATCCCTTTGATTTGTTTTTAAGCCTTTTACAGACATATTACAGTTTTGCAGTACAACTTGCCATCACTGTCTGATGCACAAATTATGTTTGAATTGCTAATTTTATTGGAACAACGCACATTAATCAACATTTCTGTAAATGTGCCAGTGTTAGCCAGCTGGCTAATTTTCAACTGCAGTCCTTTGGCAAGATGTTTTGAAACCAATAAAAGAATAAAATTCACAGGACAAAGACAGCATAAACTAAAGCAATTAGAAATCATCAAGATAGAACAGGAGCCATGCAAAGCAACAAGCAACAGTACAGTACAATAACACTGCAACAACAAACAGCATGTTAGCACTAGCAGACATGCAAGAAACACGAAGCACCAACACACAGATGAGATTACATTCAGACATGCAGAGCAGCATGTGATGTTGACACTGTTTTTAAATTACTTCAAACTTATGTTGCAATTTTGTGTTAGCCATTGTCCGACATATACAGCTATAGCAAATATACAGTACAGGCCAAAAGTTTGGACACACCTTCTCATTCAATGCGTTTTCTTTATTTTCATGACTATTTACATTGTAGATTCTCACTGAAGGCATCAAAACTATGAATGAACACATGTTGAGTTATGTACTTAACAAAAAAAGGTGAAATAACTGAAAACATGTTTTATATTCTAGTTTCTTCAAAATAGCCACCCTTTGCTCTGATTACTGCTTTGCACACTCTTGGCATTCTCTCCATGAGCTTCAAGAGGTAGTCACCTGAAATGGTTTCCACTTCACAGGTGTGCCTTATCAGGGTTAATTAGTGGAATTTCTTGCTTTATCAATGGGGTTGGGACCATCAGTTGTGTTGTGCAGAAGTCAGGTTAATACACAGCCGACAGCCCTATTGGACAACTGTTAAAATTCATATTATGGCAAGAACCAATCAGCTAACTAAAGAAAAACGAGTGGCCATCATTACTTTAAGAAATGAAGGTCAGTCAGTCCAGAAAATTGCAAAAACTTTAAATGTGTCCCCAAGTGGAGTCGCAAAAACCATCAAGCGCTACAACGAAACTGGCATACATGAGGACTGACCCAGGAAAGGAAGACCAAGAGTCACCTCTGCTTCTGAGGATAAGTTCATCCGAGTCACCAGCCTCATAAATGGCAAGTTAACAGCAGCTCAGATCAGAGACCAGATGAATGCCACACAGAGTTCTAGCAGCAGACCCATCTCTAGAACAACTGTTAAGAGGAGACTGCGCCAATCAGGCCTTCATGGTCAAATAGCTGCTAGGAAACCATTGCTAAGGAGAGGCAACAAGCAGAAGAGATTTGTTTGGGCCAAGAAACACAAGGAATGGACATTAGACCAGTGGAAATCTGTGCTTTGGTCTGATGAGTCCAAATTTGAGATCTTTGGTTCCAACCGCCGTGTCTTTGTGAGACGCAGAAAAGGTGAACGGATGGATTCCACATGCCTGGTTCCCACTGTGAAGCATGGAGGAGGAGGTGTGATGGTGTGGGGGTGTTTTGCTGGTGACACTGTTGGGGATTTATTCAAAATTGAAGGCACACTGAACCAGCATGGCTACCACAGCATCCTGCAGCGACATGCCATCCCATCTGGTTTGCGTTTAGTTGGACCATCATTTATTTTTCAACAGGACAATGACCCCAAACACACCTCCAGGCTGTGTAAGGGCTATTTGACCAAGAAGGAGAGTGATGGAGTGCTGCGGCAGATGACCTGGCCTCCACAGTCACCGGACCTGAACCCAATCGAGATGGTTTGGGGTGAGCTGGACCGCAGAGTGAAGGCAAAGGGGCCAACAAGTGCTAAACACCTCTGGGAACTCCTTCAAGACTGTTGGAAAACCATTTCAGGTGACTACCTCTTGAAGCTCATTGAGAGAATGCCAAGAGTGTGCAAAGCAGTAATCAGAGCAAAGGGTGGCTATTTTGAAGAAACTAGAATATAAAACATGTTTTCAGTTATTTCACCTTTTTTTGTTAAGTACATAACTCCACATGTGTTCATTCATAGTTTTGATGCCTTCAGTGAGAATCTACAATGTAAATAGTCATGAAAATAAAGAAAACGCATTGAATGAGAAGGTGTGTGTTTGGCCTGTACTGTATATCAGATGATTTATTTGTCTAGCCCTTGAAAATAATCTTCAAATTATCAGTAATGAAAATAAATGTTGGTTAATAACAAACACTGGTCTTTAAAGGAATACTTAACCCCACCAAACTTGTATTACCCATGACCTGTCTCAGTTACAGAGTCGTCGCGTACTTGCACTGTTTCTGTGGAAATATTTTATATTGTAAAATTTTAGCGGTACAACTGGATAAATAAAACTTGGATTATACTGCAGGAGTTGTTGTAGAAGGATGTTTTGATGTAGTTTTGGTGTCATCAAATGCGTCCCCCATGACTTAAATTAATCAAGATATTTCTCAGTTTTTGGATTCTTTTTTCATTGTGGTGGCATGCGTCACAAACAACATTTTTTTCCAAAAATCAGAGTAACGTGGGATGAGTAATTGTTCTTATAGGGGATGAAGTGTTCCTTTAATAAGCATTAGATCTCAAGGAATCCTTTATCATTAATCTGTGATGTAAGAATAATTCAGATGAAGTGATTTAACCTACAGTAATTCTTTAATTAAATCTGCTAATTGATTAGTTGAAGAAATCCTTTGATTGTCTCTTTAGGTACGGTGAGCTTTAATAAGATCTTTTGTACCACACTCTCAAACATTTATAAGCGGTTTGTAAACAGCCGGACACATGTAACATGACTGCGCTTAAACATTAACTTTCCCTGGTTCTTGAAGCTGCTCAGCACTCAAAGGCACTTAAATTTCTCAGTTAATGTGACTGTGGTAGCAGAGAGAAATGAACAATGAGTGCTCTGCTGGCTTTGTCATTTTGACCACAATTACAAATGTAATGTGGGTATATTGTTTAGTTGTCCTCAAATTTGTTTTGTGTGTATGTTTCTCATCCTCTGCTCTGATAGCACAGAAAGTCATCACCTAAATATCCTCTCATCAATATCAAGTGTAGCTTTTTAATTTTGTCCTTGTGCACTAGGCATGTAGAAACTATACAAACATTAGGGTGTTTGTCTTTTGTTTCTGACTCTATACGATGTGCATCAACTAGTTTTCCCAAGTGGGAATTAAGATAACACAATGAGCATTTACATCCAGGACCTTTGGCTTTATTACTCTTGTTGCTCGCTGCTGTTTTGCTGCAGCCAGCTCAATAATTGCATTGTCAAATAACAGGCCTCTGTTTCAGGTCAGGGGACACTGTTGATGCTAGAGAGACAGATGAGTCCTCTGCTGCATCATTAGCATTGGCTGGGTACTCTGGGGACCCCCCCCCCACCCCCTTTTTTTACGCATGCACCATCTGCTCACGTGACAATGTGTTGCTGTACCCAGCACTACTGTCAGCCATCTTGGTCGACACCCACCCAGTGCATTCACTGCGGTGCACAGGCAGTCCAATCAGAGTGAACCGGTGCTAAGCTGACCGGAGGAGGGCTGTGATTTTCAGCACGGTGCTCCCTTGCATTTTAAATCCCCAGTCTGCACAAAAGGGATAACAAGAGGTTTGAAGAGGAGGAGGAGGTGGAGGAGGAGAAGGCAGGGCAGCCTTTCTCAAGACAGCAGCGTATTTTACTCAGCTGTTACAAGGAAGGGAGGAGGATGCAGGCATAAAGAGGAGGAAAAGCAGCACCCTTTCAAACACCTGCTGAGAGCTGCTGTGGGGCCTTCCTCGTCTTTGGCCTTTTATCCTCTTTGTTTTGATGCACTTTCCATCCTCTCTCATTTCCTCTTCTCTCTAAACTGTTATTTTTTTTGGTGCCTTCACTGGTGTCTGGAACAAAAGCTACTTCGCCTTTTTTCCCCTCGGTGGTGTTGGTTTTGCATCGCATCAGCTGAGTCATCATGTCTGATCTGACGCCTCAGAGCGAAACCCCCACTCCCACCACCGACAAGATCACCCAGGCCGCCCGGGAGACCATTTATCTCTGCAACTTTCGCGTGTCTGTCGATGGCGAGTGGCTTTGCCTCCGCGAGCTCAACGACATCTCCCTCACTCCAGACCCAGAGCCGGCCCATGAAGGTAATGTGACAGATTAGCTCATCGTTTGAGGAGCTCTGTGGGCACAGTGTGTGATCTTTCTATTTGGGCGTGGTGATTCACAAGGTTCCCAGACACAACACATTTCATCTGGTGAATTGTGGTAATGTGTCCTGTTTTGAGCTGTGTCACGATGGATTTCAGGGGAGATGGGTTGATGTCAACAGCAGGATGACGCTGCTTGTAAATAAGCCTGGGCTGGGCGACAAAACAACCAGGAAGTACCACTTGTTTTGTCGTGACAATTTATTATCTTGCGGTGAATCAAATCAATATCAATGATAGATCATATTCTGTGTCTGTTTCTTTAATCCTAAAAAAATTAACACACAACAGAAATAGATTTGGACATTTTTTACTCTCACTGAAACAAAACCAGACAAGATGCCACTGAATCCAGATATTTAAACCTGACAGTGAACTGGTAACCTATTTTGAGCAGATTCATGCTGCACTGCAGGAATATGGTTTTAAATTTGTTGGGACACAAATGATTTACTCTACAGCACTGCTTTCCTCTTCCTTATCTCTTGCCACGCCTTCTCTCAGCACAGAGCTAGCAGATTAGCAGGTTGATGGTTTTCCTGAGAAAGACTTTCCTTCAACCAGTTGGCAAATTCAACACTGCAGCTCCTTAACCTGAAGCTCCACTGAAATGACACTACAGAGGAGCTGTAACCGACAGAAACATTTATTTTGTCATGCTACCGTAAGATAAATCCCCCCCATGTGATGAGATAGATGACTGTTTCTTATCATGGATGCTGATATTTTCATTTCATTGCAACACCACGTCTAGTTTCAACCACTGGACTTTACCTGTTTAACTTAAACTGTGAGGCTTGCTGGAAGTATTTTAGGTAAGATAAGCCTTTAATTGATCTCCAGAGGGGAAATTCAGGTTTTTGTGCAGGAGCACAAAGACAGAAATAAGTACAGATTAATAGGGAAGTAAAAATAAAATAAGACCTATATAGTATAAAAGTTGAAGCAAGCAAGACCTGAACACAATCATTGAAAGCCACAGTTGGTAACTTTTATGGAAACAACTTTTTGTCACATTTGCTTAAACTGTAATCACATGCACACAGTTGTACATGCGACGGCTAATATGAAAAAATCATGCGCGTCCTCCTCTTCCTATTGCTTCCTCAGACATTGGCTAGAATTTACTGCGGCTGATCATTAATGTTCTTGTCAAACTAAGCAGCGCTCATCAAAAATGAATTCTGTTACTGCATTGCCTATGTCTCACTTCAGATGTTTTCAGAAAATACTTTCTGCTTTGTTTCCAACATGGCGGCTGGATCACAAACTTTCTCATTTTACAGCTAAACAGTACACTAAAATATGTTACTGAGAACATCTGAGAAGAGAAATAGGCAATGCGGTAACAGAATCTTAAGTCATATTTGATCAGCGCTGTCTAATTTGACAGTTTGACCAAGGTTCATGAGCAGTGACATGAATGACAGCTGCGTTAAGGCTATCAGAAGAACTATGAGGCAATAGAGTAGGCAGTAGAGATGTACCGATACCACTTTTTCCTTCCCAATACCGATTCCGATCCTGATCCCTGAACCTTAGGTATGTGCCGATACTGAATACCGATCCGATACCAGCGCGTAAAATAAAAATGGATGGGATATGAATTGTTGTATGTCTCAACTCCTAAAACTCTATGTAAAATATTAAGAAATAAATACATAATAGTAGAATTGATGCCATAAAACTTTTTTTTATTATTATCCAGTGTCAAGACACAGATTAAAGTGCAGCCACACAATTTGGTAAAAAAGACATTTTAAAGGCTACAGTAGAATGCTTTGTAAACTCCGCTCCGTTTCCGTTTCGTTTGCCCGTAGCGTGCATATGCTTAATGACGTGAGGCATTATGTGGTATCAGATTGGTCATAGGCTGTACTCACTGATACCGCATTTTAGGCAGTGTTGGAGGCATTTCCGATACTGGTATCGGTATCGGTATTGGTACAACTCTAGTAGGCAGAGGAGTATGAGTTTTTTGCAGACCATGTGTCTGCTGCATCTGTGTATATGTAGTGACAGTTTTCAGCAAACATGACAAAATAGTCTTAATAAAGTCTTTAAAGACCAAGTTATGGGGTAAGTGAAAAGTTAAGAGATACAGACTGACACGGTATGATTGATTGCAGCGGGTCTAGTGTATATATATACACACAACTATTGTACTCCAGAATAATACATGTTGTGGTTAAGTAATAATACTTAGTGTTGTCTGCATTAATATTGCAGCATATATTGCAATTCCAATTAAGTAACATAACATTTATTTTAGTTCCCTTTTCATACGTCCGGCTTGTTCTTTTTTTATGTAACAGTTGAATTCATGAATGCTTCCTTGTAACAGGCTTAAAATCTCAACTTTGTTTTCTCTTTAGTCTGAATCAAATGTCAGGCTGTCATGTTGTTTCTTGTCTATGAAGCCAATTTAAAGAAACCAGAAAAGAGAATATTCCTCATAAACTAGCTTTCCTGTTTTATCTCAGTGTTTGATAACCTGGGCATGTAAATTTTGTGTTGCAGTAACTTGTAATTAGGAAAGCTTTTCTATTACAATGATACTCCTGATGTAGATTTACAACATTTTAGCAGTAACATAACAACTTTGTGCATTCATTACCTTTTAGTTGCAGTCATTTTGTGTTGGAAGGTCAAGATTATTCTTTACCTAAGGTTCATGCACACTGCAGACCAAATGCATGAATGTATTAATAATGTAAACAAATGTTGAAGGATAACATAACCCTGTAGAAGTCGTCTACGAAAGTCTCTCATTGTCTGTTATCCACTTACATAAATAATGGAGTAGGCTCACATATAGATGGATCATATCAACAATCAAGTGCTGGCGTATTGGGTTTTACTAGTTCAACAATTTCTCTTTCAAAGCTACTTGTTTTCAGTTTATGTGAAATATGTATTAAAGGTTTTGCTGTGTTAGGTCTTTGAGTTAGTTTTAGTTTTCACACATTTACAGATGAAACATAACATGTCTTCTTTTCCAACTTTGCAGCTCAAGCTCTACATTTTGTGTTTCCATATTAAAACTACTTTACTTTTACTTCCTGGAAAACACTGTATCTTGTCCCCCAACAGCTCTCAATACATTTAACTCCTGAGTCATTCCTGCTGTTTGACCATTATAGTGTCATTACTACAAGTACTCTAAGAACCTTCTTCTGTGTTTTCTTCTCTTGTAGATCCCAAGGACCCCATTGCAATCGAAAGGCTTAACTTGATGAACATGGCCAAACTGAGCATCAAGGGCCTGATCGAGTCCGCCCTCAACCTCGGACGCACACTGGACTCTGACTATGCACCTCTCCAGCAGTTCTTTGTCGTGATGGAGCACTGTCTGAAACATGGGTTAAAAAGTAAGTACAGCGCACTTAATTCACGCTGTCATCTGCTCAAAACCGCATGGTGGCTCTTAAGGCACAGGCACACCAAACTGTCATCAAAGGAGTAGTGGCGACGAAGGCTGACTTGCATCGCTTCACTTCACTGGTCGCACTTGAACAGCCAATGACCAACTAGCACGTACGTTATGCGCCTGCATGAGAGGAAATAACTCTCCATACCAGCAGGCGGCAGTTCAGAAAGGAAAACCAGAAGACCAACAGGACGGATTCAAGAGTTAGTTAGTTAGCCAGTTAGCACTTAACAACACAACTCGATGTTGAAAGAACAAATTATATTTACAGTGCGCTAGGGAACAATAACACAAACGATTTTTTCGATCTCATGTCCTCTTGACTTTGTCTCTACTCGGTCACTGACCTGAACTGCCAGTCAGAGTGATTTCATACACCGATGCGCTCCACTGTCTCCAACACTGATTTAACATGCTGAATTAGCTGGGGGGAAAAAAGAGACAAGATCCGACTAATTCCAACAGTGCCAGACACGCCACAAACACTAGCATGCCAGATGCTCGCCGACAACCTGATATTGACCAATGGTAGACCGTTGGCTTGGTGTTTCAGGACCCTTACAAGTCCAGTGTTTCCCCCTGGTTGACAGCTTTGGCCTGGCGAATGGGTGGAGGGGAAGGAGGTGCTTAACAGTGGGACTGTGTTTCCAAATATCAGTTACTCTGTGAAATTCACATGAACGACTCTTCACATTGGCAAATTTGATCCACCTCACAGCAGAAAATACTTCACTTTTGAGCTAGTTGGCGTGTTTGTCCCATAATTTTCTTCTTCCAGAGCAGTGGTGAAGAACACAAGGGGCAAAACAGCATCACTGATCTGTTTGTCCCAAATATTCTCTAGTCTGGCTTATCTAAAAACACAAAAACTACTTACTATTACTGAAGCTATTTGTAACTGGTAGCCTACAGACACTGGACTGTCCTGCTGTTATTACAGACGTGAACTGGCCACAGACCCTTGCCTCATTCATGGACTCATAGCTGTACACAGCTACAGTTCACGTGTGCATTGCTCTGCTGCTGAATGAATACAGTGTAGCCCAGTGGTTCCTAACTGGTTCAACCACAGGGTCCAGATTTCTCCTTATGCATTAGTACAAGATCCACACTGTACATTCAGCGTCATCCTTGGGTTTGGCCATGTTGTCAACCTAGTTGGCTGTTTCTGTCAAGTAGCTGTCCGTTAGACACTCACTCTACAGCAGGAACGGACACCTCAAAATAAAAGCTCTGTGCCAGAAATTCACTATACAAAATAAAGTAACCCAAAGTGACAGCGACCCACTTTTTGGACTGCGACCTACCAGTTAGGAAACAATGGTGCAGTATATAGTATAGGGGAAACAATGGAATGGATATTTGGCGTTATTTGTAGCATGTATGTATTTGTTTTTTGTTTTTGTTTTTTTGGCCCAGTTGGGGTTCCTGTTGCCTGGCCTATGCAACTAAAGGAGAAACACTGAAGTCTGTGAAATTTGAAAACGCAAATTTAAGATCTTGACCACTTTGGTTTCTGTACAAAAATGTTTTGTACAGTTTAGTCCCAGAATTCTAAAAATAATCACAGTCACTAACACCATCCATCAGCAACAAATCAAAGACATGTAAAAGGGTTTAAAATGACAAATTTGCTGATTAAATGTTCTTAATGGTCGCTTGTGTACAATTCTCTCAAAAAGTTATTCCTGGTTTGTTTCAGTCGCTCATTATCATACCCAGTGTGATGACTCAGTGACCAAAATTTCTCAAAATTACATAGCTCAACAAGCAATGTGTCCCAATTATTAGCCAAGAAGACCTTCCTGGGGCAGAACAAGTCATTCTGGGGGGCTTTGGAGCTGGTCGAGAAGTTGACGCCTGAGGCAGGAGAGATCACCGCCAGCGTAAAAGACCTGCCTGGCCTCAAGTGAGTCTGTTCTATCCATTCCCTGAAGATTTCACTCAGTCACAACTAGATATGTTGATGATATTATCAGTGTGATTTTCAAGATTTGTGCACAAAGCAAAGCAGTGAATAGATTTAACAGCATAGGAATTACTCCTTTTGGTGAAAGTTAACTCTGCCATTGATTAGTAAAGATTGTCAGAAGTTGTTTTTCAGTGCATTTATATCTAACTCTCCTGTGTTTGGTGACAGAACTCCTCTAGGAAGAGGGCGTGCCTGGTTACGACTGGCCTTGATGCAGAAGAAACTCTCTGACTACATGAAGACGATCATCAACAGAAAGGACCTGCTCAGGTGTGTTTGTGTCGCACTGTGTTGAGGCCTACCGGCATCCAGAATAATGGTATAGAAGCGAGGATATGATCTAATGTTATACATAAAATGTATTTTATTTCAATCACCTCATAAAATCAGTGTGCATGTAGTCTTCCTCCCAGCTTGACCAAAACGATAAAATGGCACCTCAGCCTGAGCTTAGACCATGTGCAGTATCCCTAACACATATTCCACTCAGAGTTTTGGGGAAAATAAAAGGGAAAGTCACAATAAAATAAAGATGCATTGTCATACTGGGACAATTTTATGGTCAAAAACCAAAGAAGCAGAGGCTGAGATCCTGATTTTTAGTCCCTGTTATGGCTCAAGCTCCCAAAATACTGTATCCTACATTACAGTAGTTCAAGAGACCGTCGTCAAAATGATGTCTTGATTATGTTTTTTCTTTTGTTTTAACACATGATGCACATTTAAAATGCTTGAACAAAAGCAGTTTTCTGGTCAATGACAGTATTCTAACTCTCATTTCTTCTCTGTAGTGAATTCTATGAGCCGAATGCGTTGATGATGGAGGAGGAGGGAGCTGTCATCGCCGGCCTGCTCGTCGGACTAAATGTCATTGACGCCAATCTGTGCATGAAGGGAGAGGACTTGGACTCTCAGGTAATTCTGCTTTCACTGTCACTTCTTCCACAACTCAGAGCAGGAACACAAGAACATTTTTGTAGTAGTGGAAGGACGGGGAAAAAAATAGTGCTCGTGTTTATGTGGGTAAAACAAGAGTGAGAGTCAAATTTGTCCCTCAAATAACCGAAAACACAGCAGGATGTTTAGTAACTTGACTTTCAAGAAACTAAAAAAATATGTAGGAGGTTTATAAGAACATACATCATACCCATGAAACAAATTTGTTCTTAATAGTCCTGACCAATGCTATAAGTGCAACACACACCTTGTGTCTCTGCCTATGGGAGTGTGCTGAGATCAAAATATTTTGGAGGCCGGTGCTGCAGTCTGTCTCTCGGATGACCTCATCCCCATTACTTTTAAGTCCTAGGCTGTGCTTGTTAGGCGTGTTTCCTGACAGTTTTTTTATATATTAAGGAAAGAGAAAACGCTGGTTGAACTATGAAGGATTTAACAGCAAGTTTGGCTCTTGAAAACCTCACCTATATAGTGAGAAATGGGGCTTCCGAGTTAAGTGATATTTGGGGAAATGTTTTTAGATTTTGTAAAATATGGTGACATTGAAGATGTCTTGAAAATGTAACGAGATGACCTGAATGTATCTGAACGCATGTGGTCATGTTACATTCTTTTCAGCTCTGATTGATTTTCTGTTTCTTTTTGAATTACTCCTGCAGGTCGGGGTGATTGATTTTTCAATGTACCTCAAAGATGGTGGACACAGTAGTAAGAGTGCAGAGGGGTGAGTGCCGCTGTCTAATCTTTACCCACGGTGATTTTTATTGCTCTCAAACCACTTAACAGTAGCCACAGTGAAGTCAACAGCCTGGGCCTGGAGTAGGGACTCATATATGAACTTATTTGTTTGTTTGTTTTTTGTCATTTTATTTTTAATTGTAATACATTATGTTAGCCCTTAAATACGGTATGATTGTAGTGGGTGACATCTGATCTACTTTTCTAGACTGGCTATCAATGTCAATGATTAGGCCACTTATTATTTTAATGTTAAGTAGCAGACACGGTTTGTTCGTTTTGTTGAAGTTTGTAAGGGAGAAATGAGTGAAGTAAGGAAATTGAAATACAAATATTAATAAAGAAAAACAGTAGTTACATTAGGGTAGTTGGTACGGGACTTACTGATTAATCCACTAATTATTTTCCCAATATATCGTTTGGTCTACAAAACATAAGAGAACTGTAAAAAAAAAAAGGCAGGTTACAGTTTTCATGATGATGTCATCAAAGGTCTTATTTTGTCCAGAAAACAAAGACATTCAATTTACGAAAACATTCAGACAAGAACACCCGAATTTTTTGCTGGAAAACTGAACAATTAATTGATTATTAAAGTAGTTGCAGGTTGATTTCCTGTCACCGTGTGTCCCTACTAGTATAAGACAGGCTGTTATTGGTGATTTAAAATGTTAGATAAAGGAAAAGTATTTGAAATTTCATCTGCTGTAACTCTTGTTGAATATCTGCACCATCTGCTGCATCCTATTTTTTTTTTAAACATGGACTACTGATACATGTTTCATTACCTCCATGTCACTGAGTTTGGAAATAACCTCCAGGCTCAGTAAGATGCTAAAAAAAAGAATAATTTTTGGGGTATTTGTATTCGGATGTTTCACACAGAAAATATTAGACATTCTTTATTGGGCTGATGTCAATTATAAACAATTGAAATGATGTATTAATTGAAACCAAGGCACCTAACAGCTAACCATGTTTTCTTTCTGTCCTCTCCTCCTTCTCCTTCAGTGACGGTCACATCACAGCAATTCTCGATCAGAAGAATTACGTGGAGGAGCTCAACAGACATTTAAGGTTTGTCCGGTTCACCGTCTCTCTTCACTTTCTTCTGCTGTTTATTGAGCTGCCGACTAATGTGACACTTCTGTCTGCTTACAGTGCATCTGTAAATAACCTCCAGGCCAAGGTGGACGCTCTGGAAAAGTCCAACACGAAGCTAACAGAAGAGGTGAGAGTGGTTCACAGCTGAACTTTCAACACAGCTGCTGGTTTACTTTGTTTACAGAAGTGTTTGCTGACCTTTGTCTCTGCAGCTCGCAGTCGCAAATAACAGGATCATCACTTTACAAGAAGATGTGGAGAGAGTAAAGGAGGAGAGCTCGTATCAGATGGAGTCCAGGAAGGTGAGCACATCATCATTTTAACTGTTAAGTTCTCCTGATAAAAGAGAAAAATCACTTGCAGTGTGATAATGTTTTTGTCACCCTTTTCATGCTTCACATGCAGACAAAAAGCTCAAATATTTTAAATATAATAGAATAAGACAAGAAAATAGACAACAAGATGAAACAAAGTAGATAAAAATTGCACTAAAGCAGGCCGATCAGTTCTGTTTACAAATTTTGAAACCTTAAGAAGAAAGAAAACATGCAAATAATGGACATTTTTCTTTTAAGAAATCTCCCATTTACACCAGTTATCACCATTTAGCCTCGAAAGCATCATGTGTGACAAACTCTCCTGTCAGGAAATGTAACCGAACCTAAGCTTAAACTAGACATTTCATCAAAATCATTTTATTTTACATGTCTTAATTAAAATTTCGCCACAAACAAACTGTTTGCCCTAACCAGATCCGGTAAAAAACATTAAATTCTGTGCCCCTTGATGCAACTGGGAAGCCATGAAAGACTCTGTTGAGACCAAAATACGCACAACAAAAATTCAGTTATAATAATAATAAAGCACACGCCTCCTCCACTTCTCTTGGTGGAGTCCCCTGCTTTTTTTTCTCAATAATATATTTATTTGTTTTAAACATTATACAAACATCCCAGAATAAGTACACAGACAGTAAAGACGAGATAAAATTATAAAAGTAATGACTAACAGGGAGGAAATAATGAAATGAAATAATGTCAAGAAATAAAAAGAATAATGGTCAGTGGAAATGGTTCATTTCTTCATAGAGTCAGAGCACATGTACAGTAAGCAGGCTCAGTGGATGGTCAGAGATCCGTAAGAGGTTCCTATGTTCTCAGAAGACTTCCCCCTTATTTTTTAATATGTAAGATGTTGTTCCAGTTGTAGTGTATTGTTCAATATTTGTTTGGACAAATTAAATGTTGGGAGTTGAGCACTTCTTTGCTATATCTGATATTGTGCCGATCCTCTTTGCAGACATGGGGTCTAGCATCCACGCACCTCTTTGCAAAATTTTTTTAGTTTTCTGCATTCCCAGAAATCATGAATGACTGACTCTGTGCATGTTTTACATCTGTGACATGTAGAGGATGAGCTAGGATATATCTTGCTCAAATGTAGTGGTGGCAGAGTCCCCTGCTTTGTCAGATCGGCATATAGACAGGGTTCCTACACAAGTATGGAAAGTATGGAAATAAATTTGATCAATTTCCAGGTATTAAAAAGAATGGAAAATGAAAAATTAAGTATGTAAAAATATTTTTCTTTCCAGACTATTACCACAGTTCTAAAAATACTGTTTTCTAAAATAGAAAATTAGGTATTTCCAAAAATAATGTAATCAATCCGGATCGTGTTTTATGCCGGGCCAAGCACAGTTTGTGTGAGAGCAAACGTCTCAGAAAACATACCGCCCCTTTTACCTGATTGACAAGTGGTATGTCCAGTCCGCTGCCCCATGACCCTCCTCCAGCCCCCAGGTATCAAGTTTCACTCCAACACTGCACCTTCGACAAGAAGACGCAGAGGCGGTCCTGGCTAGTTTTACGCCCTGGGCGAACCATCCCTCGGCGCCCCCCCCCCATGGAGTCGGACTTCTCTGTCGCCAGTAAGCCGTTACCTTGCGCCGCAGAGCACTATGAGCCTCCGCCATATTCCTGTCTGTGACCCCCGTTCAACCCACAACCACACTGATATATTTACTCAGATGCTGCATATTCATTCATTCATTCATCTTCTAACCGCTTCATCCTCTTGAGGGTCGCGGGGGGGCTGGAGCCTATCCCAGCTGACATCGGGCGAGAGGCAGGGTTCACCCTGGACAGGTCGCCAGACTATCGCAGGGCTGACACATAGAGACAAACAACCATTCACGCTCACATTCACACCTACGGACAATTTAGAGTCACCAATTAACCTGCATGTCTTTGGACTGTGGGAGGAAGCCGGAGTGCCAGAGAAGCCACGCTGACACGGGGAGAACATGCAAACTCCGCACAGAAGGGCTCCCACGCCCAGGATCGAACCGGCAACCCTCTTGCTGTGAGGCGAGAGTGCTAACCACCACACCACCGTGCCGCCCATGCCGCATATTCTCTGAAAAAAAAAAAAAAATGCTGAGAAGTCTGGAAATTAGGGTATGGAAAAGTATGGAATTTTGAAATTCCAAATATGTAGGAACCCTGTATAGAAAACGAATGACCTGGTTGAATGGCGCTGTCCAGGATTCAGCCAAGTGTCAGTGAATCAAAGGATATTACAGTTCCTTTAGAGTTAGATATTTGTACAGTATACATTTGCAATGAACATAAACATCTTGTGTTTTTTCTGTCCTGTAATGTGTGTTCCTGTTTTTCAGGCATCAAGAAGCGACTCAGCACCAGACGGACAAGCGCTGGGTGAAACACGCAAGCAGCTCAAAGAGGAAACTCTGCTTCGATTGGTGCGTTTCAGGTTCTTAATGATGCTCCTCTACTCTTATGTTTAGATTTTTATATTGTTATGGAATTATGAGAGTATTTGTAGATGTTATCATAATTCACATGTGCTTGACTCCATATTGGGACAGTGTCAGATTGGTTGCCAGGCTGTGTCTATAATCAGTGTCAGTGGTATTCTGGTCGTGAGGTGTGTATCTGAAGTTAAAGTCGATCTCCGTGCAGGATGTGGAGAAGGAGCTGGAGGTGCAGATCGGGATGAAGCAGGAGATGGAGCTGTCCATGAAGATGCTGGAGAAAGACATCTGTGAGAAGCAGGACGCTCTGGTGGAGCTCAGACAGCAGCTGGAAGACCTTCGTGCCATCAACCAACAGCTTAGCCACAAGTCGCAGGTGAGGCTGCGTTTCTAATCCCTTAACTTCACTCCAGGTCTGTGCAGGAAGCATTTTGAAAGGGCTGGTCTGCTACTTTTTTTGTTTAGAGTGTCAAACCTGTGAAATTTTGGTGTTAAGTAGCCTTTACTGTGTTTTTTATACACTGCAGTTCTCAGTAATGACTTGGAACAAACATTTCTGCCTGTGTTTGTAACATCAAATGTGTCTGTTCCTGTATGTCAGCAGATTTTTACCGAACAAAATCTGGACAAAGTCTGTGGATTATTTTTTAAATACCACAATGAAAAGTCTTTGGAAATTACCATCACTGTTTCTGTTAAGCTAGGGAATATTTGCACTGCGTTAAGGCAGAGGGTCCAGTGATTAAGGGTTTGGCTACAATATAAATTTTTCTTCAGATTCCATCACTTAATTCTCATAATGCCTCAAGTTGTAAGACGTTGTCCTCCAAATCTAGATTTTCTAATTTGATTGATTGTTAGATTTTCTAATAGTGACCCTTAATAAACACTGACTATGTTTACAGGCACATAATGTTCCCAAAAAGACAGTATTCCTACTAAGCTGTTTATAAGGCTTGTTGAAGACAATTTGTTTTAGATGGGTAACTTGAATCCCACTCACTGGCTTCACTTATACAAACACAGGCAGTAACCAGGTTTGCAGTTCAGAATTTGTATTGAAAATTGATATAAGCAAGGGGTTACAACACGGGCAATTAATGATGTCTTTGTCCATAAGTGACAGGTGACAGGTATTGATTATTGATGGGTTGACTGATGGTTGGTTTCTGGAAAACAGTTGAAAAAAAGAGGATGAAAGCAAAGGCATTTACCCTAAATACAGCATTATTGGCACAGATTAGTGATATTAGCATTAAACAGTGGTCCCAATACACTATTAAAAAGGCTGGAAACAAGGTGCTAACAGTGCATTAATTGGCGACTTCTGCCGCGATTAACATTTATAAATATTAATTCATTGAACAAAGGAAATCAGTTTCTAACAACTGCTAATGTTCTCTACATTTAGCAACATGAACAGTACAATTCATAACACAAAGCGAGTGCCCTGCGTCACAAACTAATGAATGAAACAGGGAATGAGGCAGTCACTCATTGGCCAGTCAATATATTATGAATGGACGAGACAGAAGGATACGCTCTCCGATGCTTCCTCTTCATATCCAGCTCTATTCAGTGCGCCCTGTGCATCCAGGCAATTTATATAGAGCGCACAATGAACGGGAGCGTGCTGTGATACAGCTGTGGTCAGCAGAGATGGAGGGAATTCTTCACACTTGTAATTATGAATATTCCACTAATATTTCTGTTTACATGCAGCCACGCATACCCTGAATAACGTACCTTAACATGTCGTTTATCAAATTATGGAAAAGCTGAATAGCGGTAATTCCTCGTGCCATTTTGCTTCTGTGCATCAAAATATAATTTTTTCAGAGTTTCCTAACGGTGGCAGGTTTGTTGGACCACACGAACACACATCCCTCTTTCATTCCTTGGTTGGCGTTGCAATATCTGCACATAAACATAAGCCTGTCGTTGTCCAAGTCTTTCTTCTGACTAGAAATTTGGGGATTTCTTTTGGGCATGCATCTCTACTTGAGCTTTGCAAACTGTTGGTTTTTGTACAACATATCCATGACAATGCACAGAGCTGACCATGAACTGACAAGAGGTTGTGTGTTGCAACCTGTGGCAATAAGCCCAATTGAGATGAATATTCAGAATGTGCTGTATATACATGTCCACAGAATGCTGTTAAAGCCAGAATAATCTCGGCATTTACCACGTCTTAATCGGAATTGCTACATTGGGAAAAAGGCCAAACAGAATATGCTGTTCACATGACTTGAATCAAACTCAGAGTATCGTCATGTTTGGAATAACAGTGGAATGTTAATGTGTCAAATCTTTTCTCGAAAGCTAAAAGTCACTTGTGCGAGGTGAGCTCCGACTGAGGGCAAAACTCACGCAGTTAACTAACTAACTAAAAACAGACTGCCTGTAACTGAGTGCAACATTTTGAGGCTGCAACTGTCCCAGTTACGCATTTGTAAAGTGTGAGGCACCGCTGGTTCTGCAAGTAATTTTTCTCACTCCGTATTCCCACTTCATGAATACTACACCCAGGAGCCTCAGCCGTAATTGCTGTGGAGGAGAAGTCAGTCAGAGGCGCCATAGTGACTGAACTCATCCAATATTGACCCAGAAACCAGATTCAATCTCAATCTTTAGCTTCACCTCTGTTAGCTGTGCATGTACCTTTAGCTTTTGAATGAAAGAATCCGATACTTTCGAGCACAGTTTTTAATATTTTGCACTGACAATTTAACCAGAAGAATTGTATGACAGTCTAAGCTGTAGAAGTGCTCAACTGTCAGTCATCCAATATTGTCTATGGGAAAAAAGAAAAGGACTTTTACATCTGTAGCCACCTTCACAACTCTGTTACAGTTAAAGCCTGAAACTATTCTGACCTAGAGGGGCTTTCACGTCAGGTACTTTGGCTCTTATCTGAGTACACTTGACCCCAAAGTCCAGTTTGTTTGATTGGTGTGAACACCGTGTACCATACCTGGGCACAATACGCCAAACTACAAGTGGACTGCTATTTAACCTGACTACACAAAGCTGTTAACCGGTTATAAAGCATTCTCAGCTTAATACTGATCCCTCTGTATCAGACGGCCGCAGACAGATACCACCATAAGCTCTGTCAGCACTGTTACTGTGTTAAGGCCTTTGCACATTGAGTCTGTTTTTTTAGGATGCATTTTTTAATCAGTCATCCAAAAAAAAAACCCGTCAGAAACCTTGCACACTGATTCCAATTGTACTGACGGATCAAAGTTTCAGACTCAGTGTGTAAATGAGATTGACACAACGTGAAGTTATTTATTTTTAGATGTGCAACAGTTTCGGACAAAAACTGACTCGATCTGCGAAGGCCTTTAGCGCCGTTAGTTTCTAGATGCCGGCTCAGCCAGCTCCGCCGATCCTGGCTCAGACGCTGAACCACACATATGCTCTAAATGTTGCATACAGCTCCTTTAATATTAAATAAAAGTGAACACTAATGCAGATGAATCCTTGTATTGAAAAAGCACCAAACTCTTTCCAGTTTGGTGCTTTTAGGGAGATGAACAACATGTACTGAGTTATTGTTTCCAGTTGACTAACGTGGCTCATCCTCCACAGAGCGCAGATGCCAGCTCTAAACATAAGAGTGAAGCCATCGCTCGCCTGGAGGAGAAAATAAACCAGATGACAGGGACTGTAAAACAGATGGAGACCAGGTGAGAGCAGTTCCCCACAGCAGCCATGATTGGCACAGTGAATGATTACGACAGTTTTTTGTCACAGAATCACTTAACTACAAAAACATCTTATTGTCTTGTATTGTCATTTTTCTCCCTCCACTTTCATTATTTTGTCATTATCATGATTTGTTTTAATCATTTAACCAGTGAGAAGCATTTGGTGAAGCAGGCCAGAAACCTGAACTCAGCAGCAGGGAAGCTGCTGCAGCTGCAGCAGTAGCTCCCCGCTTTCATAACTCTGAATACAAACATACAACCCTGCCTAATATAGAAACAACCAAACTAGGATGTTATCTTTTCTGTACGATGCTCCTTTTGTTGTTGAAAATAAAACCATTTTCCCACAACCTCCTGCAGTGGCTCTCCAGCATCAGCTTTGAGTAGTGTGGACTGAGTCGATCCTTTTAGCAGCCCTAAATCCTTGTGTTCTCTGACAGATCAGATTTATACTTTTATTTAGTAGGCATTTCTATGGGAGCCAAGAACGGCCATGCTTGCAATTATTTTTTTGATGCTGTTAACTTGAGATCACGAGGTAATTATTTCATTATCTCGAGAGAACAGAGCTTGTTTTCTGATGATAATTTACTTTGATGCTCGAGAAATACAACAGCCTCTTCTCTGGAAATAATGAGATAATTTATCACGAGAAAACAGTTTTTCTGTTTTTGAGGTCATGGGATGATTATGGAGAACTTGAAAATGAGTTTGAAGTTTATTTTATCACACCTGATTTCTGCCTACAAGATCACTGTCAGGACTGATTCATAACTGCCTGTGCCAGACCTACAGTCTGATGCACTGATCAGTAATGGTAGCTACTCTTTCCTCTGACGTCTTCAGCTTTAATCAGTCGCTACATCTAAGCACACTGGCATGACTAATAATCTCTGATAAACATTATAAGTAATAAGAGGAAACAAACTTTTGCTTTCTCGTGACAATGGTTTGATTATCTTGTGTTCTTGAGATAATGAATTAATAAACTTGTGCTGTCAAGATAACTTCATTTAAAAAAAATGAATTGCAAGCATGGTCTTCCTCAGCCTCTGTGCATTTCTTAAAAATACCGCATTAATGCTTTATAGGCAGAGGTAAGACGAGTAGACGGCATGGTGTCCAAAATTCCACTGTGAACAGTTTTCAGATTTGATGGACTGATGATTAATGTGCTAACGAACACGTCCTGGATATTTGGGAGGTAGTGGACTTGCTGTAATGTTATTCCAAAGAATAAAACCACTACCAGAGACTGTGCTTGAATATTTTCAACCAACAGAGACTGACAGGATAAAAAAAAAAAGAGAATCTGAACTGATGTGTAGGGAGCTGGTATCAAATGTTCGGTGATCCACATTCAAGTGTCGAAGGCCAGGACAGGAGTAGGATAAAGTAAGGAGTCAAAGGGCAAAATTAATTTATTAATTTTGAACTGTATGTGAACATAACATTGGTGTAAACTGTAGTAATCATTAGGCTAATAAAACGATAAACAAACACAGCCTGCTTCATCTTCTTTGGCTAAAGTTTCCCTGTTGTCCTCGTTGAGTTTCTGTTTCTGTCATTTTTATGTGTTTTTTATTTACTTACCTTTCCAACCATGTGTCTTTTCGTCAAGTTTTCATTTTGCCATAAGTTTGTGTAACACCCCCCCCCCCTCCCCAAACCAGATGCAAACAGGCTGACAGAGAGAGGGATCTGGCTTTAGAGGCCAACCGGCTCTTCAAACAGGAGTTTGGAGACAAAATCGAGAGTCTGCAGGTGGAGGTGGAGCAGCTGAGGAGGAACAGGTAAAGTGTATATGATGTATATTCTTCTAAAGGATAAGACGGGTGATATTTATTGTTACATACAAAGGTCATTATAGAGGGCGCTAACTTGATAATCAATAGTACTCTTTGTTTATGGTAAATAAAAACCATCTGATTTATTTTTTAAAATGCTGCATGTAGCATAAATTGTAGTTTTACTGTATTTATTTTATGTCTTTAGGATATTTATCTTAAGAAGAGATCAGGTCATCTTAGTCCTCTCCTTTTTAATTTGCCTTTTTCTCTATTGTCATCAGATAAAGCATGATTATTATGAATGTTATGAGTATAAACTTGTGTTCACTGCACTGTTTGTCCTGTTTCAGGTCTTATCTGGAGCTGGAGCTGAGGAAGGAGCGAGAGCGCAGGAGTGAGCATCATCTCGACGCTGCATCCAGACAGTCCAGCACTCCTCGGAGGGAGAGGAGACACCCAGAGAGCATACCAAAAGTAAACCTGTGGTCATAGGAGTGCAGAATTAAAGATGAAGTAAAGGTGTTGTCTGCGTTGTGCTTATATGTGTGTATTTTATCAACAGCATCCTCCAGAATCCCCATCAGTCAAAAGGGAGAATGAGCAGTTAAACACGGCAGCAGAGGATAAAACAAGTCTGAGCTCCAGCCTGTAAGTTTTAGGAACGACAGTGTTTAGAAGAAAAAATAAAGTAAGAATCTGAGGAAATATTTGTATTTAATTAATTTATTTATCCCCTTCTCTTCCTTTTAAGGTCCTCAAGGTCACACCATGAGGATGAACAGGTGAGGTCTAAGATGCACTAAATAAACGTTAAATTATTTTACTGTGATCTGCTTATGATTGGATGATTTTATTGCAGTAAAAAAAGGAGAAAAATACTGTGAGACAGAAAAAAACTTTCAATCCATGTATTTACTTAAAATAAAAATTAAAAAATCACTCTTATCATTAATGTTCCAGTTGTAAAGGTGCATACAGGAAAAGTAACACCTGTATCAGCCAACTAATGTTGTAGCATTAGTATCAATTAGATATTTCGTCTCATGAATCCCATAATGGCTGTAATCAAGACCATATTATTGATTGATTTTCTGTAGGAGTCCTTTGTGGAGATCAGTCAGCCCTCCATCTGTACGCTGTGTGAACATGACGACTCCCTGCTGAAGACAAAGGTACGAGGATGGAAAATTATTCCAATCTTCTCATCTCTTATTAAAAGTTTACAACATTAAATGTCTCTATAAATCAGAAAAGGCTTATAGTGATCCAAACTTTACCTTGACATACAGAGATGTTTTTAAAGGGAAAAACAAGCAAAAAAAAAAAAAGATAACCGATAAATTAAATGTTTAAACAAATTGAATTTTTTGATAACCCATTCTTGAGAACTGAGACAAATCATGTCCTACCCCCAAAAAAATTCTTAAAATTACAACTAATCAACACACCAATTTAGTTTTGGCGGTGAAATATTGTTTTCAAATAATTTATATATATGAAATAAGTATGATTTATAAAATATTTTGATCTGCTTTCATTTTTCTAACTTCTAAACTTGCCCTGTGCCAGAAAACCGCCTTGTCCCAGACAACAATTCACAACTTTAGACAATTTAAAATTGTGTCAATGGCCTCCAAAATCTAAAACTAACAGTGCATACTGATAACAGTGGTGTAAAAATGTTCTGCTATAATCCGGCCCTTTAAAGATGTGTTCCAGGTTTCAGATTTCTTCAAAAATGTAATTTAATCAGGCATAAAAGGGGATTAGCTATATCATAAGGACTCTTGTCTCACTTCCTGGTTTCTAAATAGGCAGGAATGCTTCATGAGTAGTGGTAAGCTTTTTATTTTTTGAAAAATTTGTTAAATAATGTTGCTACTGGGTGTGTCTCAACCATAACATGTCAACTCCATAAGATTTTAACTCCGTCAGATGTTCCCTATGACACCCATCATGTATGCTATCTCAAAAAATATCATTGGGACAGTGACAATAAACAGTCAAGACTTTGATCTTTTTAAAATATATTTTTTCCAGCCTAATTGAAGAGTAAAAATCTAAACCTCAAAAAGTATGGTTTGAAGAATGAGTGTCACATTTTAAGTAAGGCTTGGTTACCATGTTAAATTGCACTCAGTAAATTAATTTCCTGTTACAGCGTGTTATATATCACCTAATCCTGTTTTTCTGTCTCTAGAAACAGTGTAAGAACTGCAGCGGGGTTTTCTGTGAGAGCTGTGTGTCCAACGAGCTGCCGTTGCCTTCCTCCATTCTCCCAGAGACTGTGTGTACCGCCTGCTTCTCTCTGTTACTCCAACAATACGCTTCAACGCCAACATGAAACCGCATTTTACTACAAGACACGATGATCAGACACACGGAAACCAGAGGCATTTATTTTGTACAACTGGCACTGCAAAAATGCACTTTTTGACTTCATGATGTTACGAAAGATCTGATGGAGTCCTGCGAGTCCTGGACTTGCGATATTTTAGTTACTCTAATTTAGGAATGTCCAAACTTGAGCGCTGTTCGGGTGCAGGTTTGCATTTTTCAAATACTGGTGTCGCTGTAATTCTCCCGCTCTGGCTGAAAGTGTGTGTTAAGCTGCTGTGGTATTTGTTTAGTGAAAACCTGCACTCAACAAAGCTGTAAAATGGCACCTGAGTGGAGATTGCTGATATAAAAAACCAACTTGAATCATCTCATGCATTAAAAAAATGACTTTCCACAAGGTCCACTAAGTGGATTATTGATTAAAAGGTCAACTGACATAATATATTTTTTATATAATTTAGTTTTAAAAGATAAAAAAGGAAAAACTGGTTTAAGCCACAGCTGTGCTCCAATATAACGCACCTGTTAATCATACACAGATCAGTGTGTGATGTAAACAGTGATGAATTAAAGTTTTCATCATTTCACTCAAATGAAGCATGAATTTTTACACTTGTATGCTCAAAGTGGCATCTAATTCAGGGCGATACTGACAAAAAATATCCCAAACACTTCAGACCAAATACTATACTATGATATTAAGCATGTGTTAGTATTTTAGGAAAGCCTATATGTGCTGTCAGAAGATTTTTATACACTTGAAAATTGTTAAAAATAATCATATATACAGAAACATGAATGATACATGAAGTAATAATGAGTAAAGAAAATTGTAAAGCTGTAATGCAGAATTTAAGACCAGAAAAAGACGAATCAAACTGTGGCGATAACCAAAATCCTTCATCTAGTCTCTTATCTTGATATCGATGTTTCATGAACATATCATCGAGCTCTGGTGTTCAGACTGGAGAGGAGAGTTAATAATGCTGTTCGACATTTTGGGTACTGCGCTTATTCTCTTTCTCAAGTAGAATTAGATGAGAAGATTGATACCTGTCTCATGTCTGTCTGTTTGATATGAAGCTGCAGCCAGTTAGCTTAGCTTAGCGCAAAAACTGGAAACAGGAGGAAACGGCTAGCTCGGCTTAGAGGTGCTGGCGGCAGATTTTATTTCCTCTGGACTGAGCCAGGCACTCTTTATGTACATTTAAAGCCCCCCTCCACTCAGTTTTACTTCCTGTTTGATGGTTAACGCTCTCTCTAACCGTAGCAACCAGACTGCAGCTATAGTAGTTTGTAAAATAGCAATATGGCACTTACTTTGATGGATTTACTGATATCAGAGCACAGATGAGACGGCAATTAACACATCACACTGAGTTTCTCTTTGACTCACTCTCGTCTTTACTGCCTCCTCCTGCTGCAGCTATCGGTTGTGTAGTAACGAGGCGCCGTTTGGCTGCCAGTCACAGTCCATAACAGGAGGGATAGATATGTTGCTGAGGCTCAATGTTTGAAATGGAGCTATGGGACGTTTAGGAGGGGTGCCATCCACCAGCATCAGCCCCTCCCGCCATAGGTCAGCACCATCACTGCCCCGAGCAGTACTGTGATTTCTAGCCGATGGTGGTGGACGGTGCAACCTTTCAACACGTTCTGAAACTGCATTTTTAGATGGTGGACCTAGGTAACATGTCTGTCCATCCTGCAGTGTGCTGAGGCCAGGAGACGGTAAAGAAGAGACCGAGTGAGAGACAGTCGGTATTGCAGCCATTCAGTGCGCACAGGCTACAAATGCCATTATGAAATTTAACGACACACTAAGGTGCAGGGAAACTACTAAGATACTACGATGTCTGTGGTGTTTATGACAGTGCACCTGCACAAGCTTGGAGGATGTATGACTTGCAGATTCTTTTACAGCCATGTCATCTTCCAGTTTTAGCAACAACCTTCTATTTTTAGCTTCGACCACATAATTATTCATCAAAAAATATTTGGCGAACAGTGAGTGTGGTTAAAAAACATTGTCAGGATGTGACTAAGAAAAATATGAAATACAAAAATGCCACAAAAAATGAAGGGGGGACTGTAGCTTCATATTTACAGCGCAGACAGAAGAGTGGTATCAGTTAGAGACGGCCATTTTAAGTAACCTCCATTTTCGAGTAGTACATAAGTTAGGCGCAGATGCCGAGCCAATTTCCTCCCAGTCAATTCACCATCTGCCCGGTCAGCATGAATTAACACAGCAGCAGCAGCTAACATCCATCACCGAGCTGTTAAACAGTCCCAAAAAACTCACACCACAATAGCTCGAGTCATTCATTAAACTCATTAATAGCTGTTAGGTAGTGTTAACTGTGTGATGCTAACAGTCAGCCCTGTTACTGTGTGTGTGTGTGTGTGCGGGCAGGCAGGCCAACTCTCACTAACTGTTCCCTGGTGTGGAGCTCACACTCCCAGCGCATATCCCAAAATGTCAGACTATTCCTTTAAGTTTACACATCTTAATATTCTGGGTAAAATCTTTCTTCACTGTTGCCGTTTTGTTCTGTATTAGTTAGAAGTTAACAAAAACGCTCCAACATTAAAATCATCTCCCGGTTTTAAATATTTGGTCACATCAGAGTTTATCTCAAACAGTGCTGCAGTTAAATCATAAAATCTAACATTCGGATGTTTAGATTCTCGTCTTGTCTCTGGGTAATCTCTTCTTCTGGGCGTCTGAACATATGACTGCACTTTTAAATGCATGGCTCTCTGCCTGACCGGTTTGAAGTGGGCGAATCAGTGCATCTTTATAACAGCTGTTCTTGTGTTTTGGTGATTTATATGAAGAATAGAAAGAATAGAAGCTCTATAAAACAGCGTAGTCGTTCTTGTTGAAGCTAATTAACACGTGAAATGGAAATGCTTCTTAGAGCAACAATAAACTTTTATTAAATTTTACAGTGTATGACTACATTATTTCAACTGTTTTTTCTTCTCAATGTGGAAACTCTCACACTGAGGACACAGCAGGTTTACCTTCACTGGGGTTTTTTTGGTATATTGTTGGGACTTAAATGTTTTGTTTGTCAATAAAAAAAGTATCAACAGGAATATTAGATAAAACCCACAGTCGGAGAGGAGATTTGATTTTGAGTCACAGTAACTAAACAAACGACAAAGGACAAATGTTCTGTTTATTTATTGAAGCATTTTGTCCTATAACACGTCAGAAGAACAAACAAAAGATATCTAAATTAACATGAGACATTATAATGTCTTGACCCTTATGCACCCGTCATCTTCACATTACCTGCTGATTTCTGTCTTTGCTAGCATTAAGACGAAACATGACAAAGCTGTCTCTTGTGCCATAGTTTGACGTTTATAACCTTCACTAAAGTAAATCGTTAAAATACACCTTTCATTAGAAGTTGTCTCGCCTTTGTTCGAAAGACAAAATGAAGGCAGTGTTTCTTTTAACAGCAGGAATTTTTATTGTTTGATGTCCAAGTCAGGCTGAAAAATAAATACAGTATTCCTGTGTGTGTGTGTGTATTTGGCATCTGTGTTTCGGCATTCACCTGCAGGAGAAAATACAACATGTTAGATTACGTCTGGAGCTGAAACGTAACCTCAGAGAAGGGAAAACCAGTAAAAAAAAAAATGCATTTGAATATATTAAAAAGTCTTTAAGAAAAGGACAGCAGCCACGAGACTGCAGTGTTTTTTTGTTTGTTCCATAAAAAGCTGGTGAGTTTTAATTACGACTCTTGTGTTACAGCTGAGAGAAACCAAAACGACAACTAAACTGTTTTTAAGAGATGCAGAATTTCTCCTTTGTAATTTCCTTAAAGCAGCTGTGCAGAACTTTTTACCATTCATAAAACTGTCCCTAGTTTGTATCACCCCCCCTTGAAGATCCACATATTTATTTGAACCCAACAGCGACAAAAAAGCCTTTCTCTATATGGCTATTTAGCGTAGCCTCGGTCGGGTCGGACACAGCGGAAGTCAGCAAACCAGAATACGGCACCCGGAGGCGGAAGTAAGTCTGCACGCCCGCAGCGGCCCACAGCCATTAAACCACAGAAGAAGAAGGAGGAGCCATGTTTACGAGTAGGATTTAAGAAACAGGCTAAATGACATGTAGTAGGGAGTAGTCTCTTGTACAGTAGGTGGTGGTATGCACCTGGAAGTTGTTTGCGATCCGCCAATAAATTGAGAGAAGAAGAAGAGCAGTGTTTACAGAGTGTTCTTCGAGTAAGCGGTACGCAACGGGCATTGCTGAACACATAACAGTTTTACCAGATGTATCTATAAGGACTTGGTTGTACTTTCGATGTCATGGCGGATAAAGAAGGAGCACCATTTAAAAGAAAAAGAACAGAAGAAGGCTAAACGGGACAGTGATAGGGCTCGAGCCCAAACGCGTGTAAACCTCGGTCGGGCATTCACCAAGTGGAGAGAGTTGAGAGATTTGAAAGGTTTTAAAAATGATCCCGAGTTGGCCCTTTTCCTAATCGACAGGTATGTAATTTTTGTTTTTATTTAGAGAATATACCGCAACTTGTTAGACGTTGTTTCACTTCAATATATGACGACATGGAAGTTATAAACAAGCTAAATGTAACGTTAGCTGATGTGAACCGCTTTTGTCTAGTGACGTTACAACAAATGCCACAAAATTATCTGCGACTGTGACCATGAACGCAAATATAAAGCAGGCAGTTGTCCTCAGTTTATAAGAAATTCAGAGCTACACCAGAGCATTTATGATTTTCCTCTTGCTCTCCAAAACAAATGCATGCGGTAATTGCCGGTTGCAGTCGAGATTTTATGACACTAGGCTGTGGGTGTCATACCGCTTCAACCAAAGGGGGCACTATAATCAACGAAAATGTAAAGTTCCGCACAGCTGCTTTAAAAATGTGAGTTAGAAATATAAAAGTATTATAAGAGTATTTTTCTAATACTCTTATTTATTTTATCTAAATAAACAAATGAATAAATAAGAGTATTTTTCTGTCAATTCTGTAATTCAGTGTTTCTCACCTCCTTTCATCAAAGTCTGGTGTAGAGTTCAGGAATAATTCGATGTATCTTCCTCCTAAAAATAAGAGAAGGTTCAAATGCTCAGTGAAACTCTTGTTGTTTTCATATATTAACACAGAGTCATAAGAGACCAGAAACTGGGAATTATGGAAAATGAAGACTGATATTAAATTTGAGGCCTTATAGATGCTTTAGAGAACAAAAGGACATGCACATCCTATCCTATCCAACTTATCCATCTATAAGTGAAGAAAAAGTTGAGTCCACACACTAGATACAGCTCCCAAGATTTGATTTTGATATTCAGATTAAATCTTGGGAGCTGTATCTAGTGTGCGGACTCAACTTTTTCTACACTTATAGATGCTTTAAAAATAAATACATGAACATATGTTTGTTTCATCTGTCTGGTTTTATTCATAATGACACCAATGATAACATAAAGCTGGGGTAGGCAGTTTCATTTAGGCATCATTGGGTAAAAGTCCTGTACTGAACTACTGCAGCTTCCAAATAGCCACCCACAGACGCCAGAACGGGAGATATGATGAACTCACTGTCTTTGGTTTAGTTCTACTCAAAGTTTGATTATACAGGGGCTTTGGTTGGTTTTAGAGTTGACTGATTTGCAGGATGTGAGGAGAGTTGCAAGATGACGCTATGAACTGATTGTCTTGACAAAAATCCCAAAACATTCCCCAAATAAACAGGCCTTTACAAAAACAAAGTTCAAATCAATGAGGTATTAAACGACTTCATCAAACAATAAAAACTAAGATTACCCAAAAACACAGCGGTTAAAGACTAACACCCTGTGGCATCCTCCACGCTCCACACTCACTTCAGCACACCTGCCTTAAATTAAAGGTTCCTGAGATGCCAGGTCAGGTGGTGCATTAGAGTGACTCAAAGAATAATAGGAAACTAGGACTTGCTAGAAATGGCTCTAACATAAACTATGATCATATTGTAATTCAAGGGGATTAAGAGAAAACTAGACGTCTGCACCTCCTCTTGGCTCCGTTTTCAGGCTTTGGAAAATCCAGCCCATGACGGGAGACTCTGGTAATCACAGGTCATTTCAGAGAGAGGGCGTTTCATCGGCTGTTCTATAAATGCAGGTGTGCGTGCACATCACTATGGTGAAAGCTCGATTCAGTGGTGGAGAATCCTGCAACTGCCTACACTGCAAAGCAACCGCAAAAAGGAAAACACGTACTTATCAAAAAGAGAGTCTAAAAGAGAGTCTGACCATAAAACACAATGTGTCAGTATCGTTGAAGCGTGTCAGAGATGGAGAAAAAATGTTGCTAATAGTTTCGCCTTCTGCTAACCAGAGCCAAGTTCACGTTTATGTAGCTAACGTTAGCTAGAGCCTTGAATCACAGCTTGTTCTCTGCCTCACTACCTGTCACTACAGACCACCTAACCGGGAGGAGAAGGGGCAGCAGCTCTGGAGACTGACCCCAAGTCAGCGTCTGCAGCAAACTGAATCCAGGCAGTTTCGAACTGGTGCTGCCACTGGCCGCCAGTCCAATATGACAACTGGCAACAGGGGGTTTGTACTGGGCAAATTCGAGCAGCTACAGCCGTGGGCCGAGGCTCAATTTCTGGGGGTGCTGCCGGCGAAGCAGTCTGGGGGACTACGGAGGGCTAGCTAGCTAATTTTTAACTCATTTATGGTGTGATAAACAGAAAGGAGGCTCTACAATGAAGTAAGATTGAATAAATGGGAAACACCTGGTGCCCGTATAAAGAGCGTCAATATGCCTGTTGTCTGGTGGGAGGGGCTTAGAACAGAGAGGCTGGAGCTGCAGGAGGGTGTGATTTCCAATTTTCCAGATTTCTGCCTACCCCAGCTTTAATGTGCAAAGACATCAGCTGGTCCCAGCTCTGACAGTCTCACCTAGGTACATTCTGTCTCTGGACATGGCGGTCAAGGCGTCCTCGTGGCAGCTGAAGTAAATGTCAGCCTCGCCGCTCGGTTTCCCTTCAGGACTGCATTCGATCAAAATCTTAGACACGACCAGAGGAGAGAAGAACTGCAAGAGAAAAACACATTAAGTTTAAAATCATGTGCAAGTGCGACGTCTAACAGCACAACTGACTTCAACTTATCAGCATTATCTTAATTTATTATTTACCTGAACAATGTCTTCTGCGGACACCTGGAAAGGGAGTCCTCTTATGTGGATGTAATGACTACTCAGGGCTGAGGGAGGAGGAGACCCTTGCAGATAAATAAAATTTGTATCAAGTAACATGTAAGGAGTAATACAGTTGTTAAAATTTCCAAGTATTGGTTTTATGTTGTTAATCGTCTGTCCACTTAACTGGACATCATGCAACACTGGAAGTATTTAAACTATAATTAATACCATTACTGCAACCTGGTACTTTATCTGCAGTGACATTTGTGTTTTTGCAGAAAATGTTCCTTGTACATTTTCACAGAGGGAGGTGTGTGGGGGGCTGAGGAGTCAAGAGGAAGGAGCTGAATGAGGGAGGGGGAGGTGTAGAAAGAGACAAGGAGAGGCTGAGGAGTCAAAGGCAAGGTTCCACGCTTTTGCGCAGGCATTTAACAGTATTGGAGCAGCATTAAACAGCATTAAAAATATAATTTTCTAGTTTCACATTATTTGTTTCATTGGTGTACATTTCTTAAAATGAAAACTTTACTGCATGCTGTCCACCCGAAAGGACATGTAAAAAAAGAGGAATATATAAACACTTCTTGATCGCAGCAGTCATAATTCACTCCTGATCACTCTTCTTTGAACACTGTGTTATTTTAAAGGAAGAAGGAAACCAAAAAGTCAATGAAATGAGCCCTAAAATCTCCTCACCATATTTGGTCTGTGAGGCAGGGACAGCCCCCCTGCTCGCCGACTGAGGGCCGCCCATTTGAAGAGAAGTTGACCTCGTCTTCTGCCTCCAACTAAAACGAATCTCGTCAAGTCTGCTGGGAAACACCTCGATGTATCTGCAAACACAAACAGATCGGGATGAGCAACAAGTGAGCTAAGGAGATGCCCGTGAAGAAACAAATCAGTGACTTATGTTCCTTTAAACTACTTTCTGTCGGTCAGAAATAAGAGAAACATTTGATTGTAATGCCGGTACAAGCCTTCACGTGAGTGTGTGCAGCATCCTACCTGTTTCCAATGAGCTGTCTGTCTCTCTTCAGAGCTTCATCAGCTGCTGTTTTTGAGGAGAACTGCACAAAGGCCTCTCCGGAGTTTCTTCCTTTGTGATCTAACACGATGGTGATTCCATTATGCTCTATTTCCAAACCTGAGAGACACGGATTCAGAGTTTCACTTGTGTCATTAAACAAACACAACCTTTTTTCAACCTTTTATCCTGTGTGGTATCATTCAAAAAACATTTTTGAATATTTGTATCAAAATCCTTCTCTATGCCCCTTTTGTTAAATATTTTTTACGAACTCATCCTCCACTCAGACACGTACAGATGAATTTAATCCAATCGAACATACATTGAGGCGTCGGATTACCTCTGCAGTCATGTAAAAACTACATTTGACTCAAACTCTCCAACTCTAAATTAAACTGTCTACAAATTTCATTTTACAAATATGTAACATTATGAAAGCGTAAAGGGCCAGTGTGTAGGATTTATGGGGACAGAAACTGAATAAAATATTAATAACTATATTTTCAGTGGGAAGTGGAATCTGTACTGCAGCGAAGGGTCACATGGGATAACATCCTGTGGGCAGACTATTTCCAAGTCTGATTTCTGATCCAGGATGTGTACGATGGCCTACCAAGCCCAGATAATCTCCACGTCTGGGGCAAGAAGGAAACACCGTCTTGTGCTCTGTGCTGTGGGAGAGGATCCCTCGATCACATCTTAAGTAGCTGCCCAAAGGCGCTTGCAGACGGCCGCTACCACTGGTGGCATGATCAAATGCTGAAAGCAGTTGCAGAGATGGTTGCCTCAGCCATTACCACCAGCAAACACCATCTCCCAAAGACGGTCATCACCTTTGTTAAGGCTGGAGAGAAAAACATCCCACGACTAACATCAGCAACTCTCCGTCAGACATGGTCATCTTTTCTGACTACACCAAACAAGTGATCATGGTAGAACTCAATGTACCCTGGGAGGAGTGCACAGATGACACCCAAGAGCGGGAATGTGCCAGTATCAGGAGCTGACGGAGCAGTGCAGGAGGCAGGGCTCGAACACCAACTGTGAGCCTGTCGAGGTGGGATGTCTGGGCTTTGCAGGCTGGCCACTCTGCAGGGTCCTCACAGAGCTGGGGATAGTGGGGCTGGCTAAGAAGAGGGCCATCAAGAATATCATCAATGCCGCAGAGAGAGCAACTCAGTGGCTCTGGCTGAGGAGGGAAGCCCCGTGGACCCAGCTTGGTCGCCTTGGGTGAGGGTGTCTTTTGCTTGAAAAGACCCAAAACACCTGATGACCCCAGGATACATCACTGACCATGCATCCCAGCGCATCCACAGGATGCATTCTATAAGCATTAGTGTGTAACCAGCACTGCCATCTTGCTCAAACCAAACACTGACTCTAGATAGAGCCGTTCCCATGTTCACGTCAGCCGCGGTAGTTCTCTACACGTTGGCTGCAATCTGCAACCACTCACAATTACCCAGACATCAAAGTAACACCTTCACAATGTGTGTTTTGTCCAACCAACAGTCCAAACCTCAACATTATTAAGAATGGTTTTAAATTATGAAGCACCCAAAAGCATTGGCAGCAAATCTTCACATTTTTGCATGAAAAAATAGTAATCAATATAGTTAATAGTCAATAGATTAATCACTCAGCTGTTCTTTTACATTTTCATGGTGCAAAAATCTGAATGTTTAAAGTAACTAAAGCTCTCAGATAATTGTAGTGGCATAAAAAATTTGTCTTTAATTATTCGAGTAATGTGCTTATTTACATTCCACCACTGGTGACAGCACAGATCCAGAGTTTCCAGTAAATGTGGAGGTAAGAGGAGTGTACCTGAAAAGAACTGGGCGATGTCGGCCTTGTTGCAGGAGAAGGGGAGACCTCTGAGCCGCACCACCCCGACATCAGGTCCAGCCGGAATGACTTTCTTCAGCATGGCTTCAGCGTCGCTGTTTGTTACTTCATACACTGCACAAACACCAAGCAGGACGTGAGATTTTTTTTTAAACAATTACAATGGCTTGATAGCCCTCATTTATGGTCAATTATTTCATCAATTTCTCTGTCCTGTTCAAGTGTCTGAGTAGCAATAGCACAACCCTGAAACTGAAGCAGCTATGTGGAACCATTTATTTTTGTGATTCTCCTGCTGTTGCATCATGTCAAAACGTCTAATCAGCATCTGTTTTTCATCCAGCTCTGAATACAAAGAGACAAACCTTCCACATAGCGCGGGCCGAGGTACTGACGGTGTTTCTCCAGGGCTTTGCAGACATCCTCCTCGTGCTCCATCTCAATGAAGGCTTGTCCGTTTGGTCTCCCCATCTTGTCCACAGTGAGATGGATCCCATTCACCCCATCACGGATCCTACACTCTGAAACACAGTTAACAATACAGTGGCCAATATTTATTTTTTTCCACACAATATTAAAACTTAATGTAGTTTAGTTATTAGTTTTTTTTATGTTGAACAATCAGGACAGCAAACGCAGTAGTTTTATAGCTCAGTGCACATTAATTCTGGCCTTAAAGATTTTCAGAGAAGTTTTCACTGTCGCAGACAAATTATCAGTGTCGTAATAAAATCATGAGTTTAACCTCAGTTGTGGCGCGCACCTGTGATGTCGCTTGTCTGGTGTAAGGTGGTCATAAAACTCAAGTCAGACTTTTTCTTCTCAAGATGATGCCATTAAATGAAACATCTTGTCTCATGTAAATAGTGAAGTTCAATGGCATGAACACTGTCAACAACCAGTAGCTGTGCTCTCTCCTGCACCAAACAGGAGGCAGTAAACCAGTTAAACATGGAGGGGACTCCAGGGAGGAGCAAGAACATGAACAAGTCTCGGTTCTCGTGGACGGTGGAAAAGGAGGAGAAACTGGTGGAGTTGTGGAGTGAACAAGAGTTGATCCACCAACCACTTATTTAGTGGTCTCCTACCACTAAAATATCGCAGCTAACCAACAGAGGCTGGTGGCGAGTTGAGGCGACGAAATCCAATATGTGAAGTTTGTACATAAATGCAGTTCAATTCAATTCGATTTCAATTAAATTGCATTTACACTGATCAGCCAAAACATTAAAACCACTTGTTACAGTGTAATGTTCTGCTGGGAGACCTTGGGTTCTGGCATTCATGTGGATGCCACCTGACACGCTCCACCCACCTGAACACCGTTGCAGACACAATAAACTCCCCTCATGGCAATGGCACTTACTGATGGCAGTGGCCCCCCAGCAGGACAATGCACCATGTCACACCACAAAAACTGACCTGAGGAACAAGAGCTCAAGGTGTCGACCTGACCTCCAGATACCCCAGATCCCAACCTGATCGAACATTTGAGGGATGTGCTGGTGCCCCAGAGGTACCCCTGATCCACAGTTGGTGCTCCTTTGACCAGACTTGGCTCTGACCTGTTAAGGCATGGACACAGGACCTCTGGAGGGTATCCCTTGGTGTCTGGCACCAGGGCGTTACTTTCAGATCTTCTGAGTCCTGTGGGTTGTGAGTTGGGGTACCAGCATGTCCCACAGATGTTTGATCAGATCAGGATCCACGAAATTTGGAGGCCAGGTTGATGCCTTGAGCCTCTTTGTCTCGTTCCTCGGAACATTCCTGAGCAGTTTTTGTGGTGTGGCATGGTGTACAAACTTCACTTAGAAATAAATCTTTGTATTTAAACAAATAAAACACCGTAAAAAATATAGGGCCTATAACATTCTTACATACTGTATTTTTATTTGAATCACCAGCACACACCCAAATACTGAGGTATGGCGCTCACTTTCAGATTTCCCCCCAAATCCAAACTCTCACCTGAGAAGAACTGCAGGAGGTCCTGAGCGGAGCACGACCACGGGAGACCTCTCACCTGCATGATGTACACCTCCTTCTTCTCCGATTCTGCATCAGACTGATAGGCTGGCAGCGGAGGGTACTCATCGTCACAAGGTGTTCCTGCCTGGAAGACATGATGTAAAATAAGACTATTCAGCCACAAACTTGGAAACATTCGACAAACTGACATGGTGCTGTAAACTGATCAAGTCACCCACACAAAGACAAGCGGTAATATTTAGGTTTTTCCAGGTATTTTGTAATTGTATAATCACCTGAAAATAAGATTCAGTGTGTTTTTGTTACCTTAGAATGAGACGTTTATATCTACATAGGGAGTGGGTCTTCGTCTAAAATTGCCGTGTTGCACCGCCATGTTTCTACAGTAGCCCAGAATGGACAAACCAAACACTGGCTCTATGTAGGGCCATTCTCGTTTCACGTTGTTCACCGTAGTTCACAGCCCCTCCACGACAAGCAGCTACGGAAAATCAATGTGCAATTGTTGTGTTTACCGGTTTAAATCACAGAGTCTGTTTGTTTTGGAGAGGAGGATATGTTTTCGTTATCTGGTTTGACTAACCCTAACACTGGCCGTCTACATTGGCACTACAAAGCTGGTTATCAACTAGTTAAGTCAACTCTCCGTTTTCCTATCCAGCCACGAGCGTGTTCACGTGAAAGAGGCAGGGTGTTAGTAATAAGCGACATCATCAGAACCATGAATTAGGCTGCTTCATATGATATGAGATGAAAGGAGACTGAAAGAATCTGCGACTGGGAGACAGATAAATGTCAGTGGCGTGGGATGTAAATGATACTCTGTAATCTTATTACGGAAACATTGACAATACTATCTAACAATACACCGTCAGCTGAGACTTAAATTACGTGCAGGTATCACGTGGCTATGTGACATTAGTATGGAGTATTTTTTGCTGTTTAGTTGGATGATGACAAACTACTCTAAATATGTCACATAAAACACTTTAAAGTGACGCCAGACTGTTTCTGCTGCTGAAGTAAAGGGTGGAAAAGTAGCCTCATTAATCACTGATGAGGTCTATGTGACAAGTATTTATAATAGCGGGAGCATATTAACAGTGTGTGAATTATTTTACCAATAAAATATTATCTGTTGTATCCTGGTTTTCATCACACAGGTGTCACGTGTTATTCTGAGCTGCAGTGATGGAATCAGAGTGTAAACGTAGCAGCAAGAACATCCTGAACCTCCTAGATGCCACTAAACCCCCCTAAACCATACACACGGTTCCTTAAAGGGGCAAGATGGTAAGTGCTGTTGGTCACTGTCTGAGTTGCCCATCCTCTGCTGTCTCCATCTTCCCAGTTAGTACAGTAATGGTCCCTGCATTACACACCCAGAAACCAACCAGTGCTTCTAATGCAGGAACAGTTAGCTCCACATTTACCAAGTGCAACATTACAGTGATCTACACATTAATGCATCACTAATTATTAAGGGTGGGGGTAAAATCAATACAGCATAGCATTGAGATAGTTTTGTGTCATCACACACAATTTTTTTGTCTTACATAAATCATTAATATTACATATACAAATTAAACTTCAGGTTGCCTACTAGAATAACAAATCAACTGCTTTGTCAGTCTTCCGGATACATTTTGCTGCAAAACAAATGGCTGAGGTGAGATAAACAGACTAAAAACTTTATCTTATTAGATAAAACAGATGTTGGCATAGTTTTCTTTGAGGACATAATTTACAGTTGAAATAAAGGTAATAAATTGCAATATATCACATTATATTTTATCACAATACCCAGCATATCGCAACAGTAATTTGGATTATACAGGTACATATACATTATTATGACATGGGCCATTCTGCATTATGATTACTTCTTTTTTGGTGCTTTAAGTATATTTTGGAGCTGATACTTTTGCACTTCTACAAGTAGCAGAGTACATCTACACTGCGGTATTGCTACTTTTACTTAAGTACAATATCAGAGTACTTCTCCCCCCTCTGGATGATAAAGTAAAGTAGACATATACAGGAGTATAACATGAAGTACCCCACAGTTACCAGTCACCACCCCTCCTCTGTGTATGGGACTAACCTTGGTACAGAAGCGGTACTGGCTGATTCTCACTGCGGACTGAAGCTGACAGACTGCCCGGGGTGTCGATGTCCAAGTCCGCTGCTGAATGAACCCGCACCTGCCTAGCGACAGGCTGCTGCTGCATCTTGTTTGGATACCTGTCGGTAACGTTACCCGTCTAACTGCGACACACCGCTGCAGTAAAAACAACAGAGACTTACTGTTACGAGACATATTAGCCGAGCAGGGTCGGCTGCCAGGTCAGGTTCTGGGCTTAAATAGGTTAATTAATGGACGTTTAAGTCAGTTTCTCTCTTAATTTAGCTTGTTCGTTTAGCTAGCTGCTTAGCATTAGGTTGTAGGAAGCTGAACTAACTCACGTGGGTCAGTCAAGGGCAGAAGAGTACCGGAGCTAACAAGCTAGCAGCTAAACACTTCCTACTTCCGGTTAAGCTTTCACAATAAAAGCCGAAACATGACCATCAGAAATCGGATTTATATTTTAGACACCTCACAGAGCTCATGATTTCCATAAATGATTTATTATTATTATTATTATTATTATTATTATTATTATTATTATTATAATAAAAATAATAAATGTAATAAAGTAATTAGTGATTATATTTTTTTTATATATAATTATAATTTTTTTTTACAAAACAAAAACAGAAAAAGCAGGGGTGTAAATACAGACAGTGCAGGCAGTGAGATTGCACTGGACCCCTGGGGTGGAGCGCGGGCCCTTGCAAGTGCCACCTTGAAAATATACCTGTGTAAAAACATAAATGATAAATAGAGGAATACATAGAATTATATAGCCATTTGCTGTATATGTCCTCGAAAATTCCAACCCATCTGCATCATGGTTTTATTTTTTATTTTAAATAGTCAGTTACTTGTTCAATGAAATTATGTGCTTTTTCTATATACTAGCTATAAAATCTACGAATATACTATACAAACTATTTAATTAAATGATTAATGTGTTACTTTCTTTAATATTTTTGTCAGATATGCAGTAATGACTGCTGGGTAATATGTATCTGGATGTTGATGTTGTCCAATGTCAAGTCTCTATTTGTGTGGAGACAATACATGCATGATAGCGTACAATTAGGGCCCATTATAATAGTGTGCACTGTGGACTGTCTTAACTTCCTTATGCCACTGAGAAAAGGAGAAAACAAACTTCTTTTTTTTAAAATAAATTTAAAAAAAAAAAATTTAATTAATTTTTCCTGGGCTTTGAAATCAAATCAAGCAAAAAAAATGTAGTCCTATATAAAAATTATAAAATATGCATACAAACTTTTTAAACAGTATTTTAGAATATAATGAAATACATACTGTACATTTACATTGCAAGTGTACTATTTTCATTTAACATGGCATATTTAACAACTAGTTTAGAAAACATTAAACCCCAAGAATTCACTGTATTCATTTTGTTTTCTTTCATGTTTCACGTGTTTTGCCAGGACTTTGGATCGACTGAAGTCTTGGCATATTGAAAATGAGTTAAACTGAGTTAATCTGTCCACAACAGAAAACACTGGCATAAATTGCTATAAACAAAAAAATGTTTAAGGACAAGATCTGTCTGCCTGATATTCTTACATTTCCAGTATGTTTCTCAATTACAGCTGAATCTAAATCCAAATTATATCTGTGTAACAATCCAATAAGGTGTAACATATTCCTGAGCATTTTAAACTTCCTTAATTATCACTTCATTTTAATTAATAATTTCTATGGGAAGAGGTGTTTCCACTAACTCTTGTGAACTTGACAACAGTCTTCTCCCTCAAGTCCTTCCTCTCTGTCTCTGCTCTTGTCATTATATCATGTACACTGCCACCTGGAGGTTAGGATGCCACAACACCCTCATAACATCAGGTGTACGTATATGTATTTTATTGTGCCTTCCGTGTTTATAATGTATTGTGCTTTTATGATGTTCACGCATCAGTCTCACACTCCGTACTGGAACTATGTTACCTCGCACCATCCCTATTAAACAAACAAACAAATAAGTATATATATAATTAATTAAATAAAGTACAATCATACAACCCTCACTGAAAGCGGAACGAGAGGCTAACCCACTTCCGCTGCCGGAACTTAACAGTGTGACATCCAGCGGAAGTAAACAATAAAGGCGCTGGTAGCATTAGCTTAAATGGACGTTTTGAATTAGCTTGAGAGATTGTTGTCCCTCAAAGAAAGGCTACATGAGATAAAATTAAATTAGATATACTCTATTTTATAAGTGAGCAACAATGTCTTCAGGTGAGTATTTGAGAGAGTTTATAAACGAGAGACTGACGACTGCTGCTCAAGAAATATTTGGAGCTTTTCAAAGAACCATCGTCGAATACGAAGAAGAGATCGACCGTCAGCGCAGACTGTTGGATGTCCTTTGGAAACCTGATATAAAGCTAAACAGCACAGGTGTGTAAAAATTTATTATTTTAGAATACTCACAGAGGAGTATGGCATGTATGATGTTAATGGTTTAAACATATTACGTTGTTACTTGAATGCTAAGTGTTGGGAACGTTACCTATAAATGTGAATGGTTACAAACTGATGTTAAAATGTAAGTCAATGCTAGAATCAGGCTTTCCTGCACAGTGAAAAGATGCAAAGCAACATCATGAATGTTATGTTCTACATATATATGAGCTACCACCACAGTAACGTTAGTATCCTGTTCCTGTGTCCCTCCAGAGCTTCCACAGCAACATGTCTGTAAGGAGGAGGAAGTTCTCGCTGACCAGCAGCTCTGTATTCAGGGGTGGAATTCCAGTGTTGACCAAGAGGACCCAGAGCCTCCACAGATTAAAGAGGAGCAGGAGGAACTCTGCACCAGTCAGGAGGGAGAGCTGCTTGTAGTGAAGCAGGAGACTGACGCCTTTATGTTGACTCCTGCTTATGATGAAAGTGACCACGGTGATGATCACGAAAGCATCAGCCACACTAACGATGTGTCTAACCCTGCTTCGACAACGATTTACTGTGACATTCACACAGAGAAAGAGTCTGTCAAATGTGACATGTGTGAGAAGGCTTTTAAGTACAAGTCAGATCTGAAGAGACACCTGAAAATTCACACAGGTGAGAAGCCGTATTCTTGCAACACCTGTGGGAAAACATTCAGTCAGATGTCAGTACTGAAGGCTCATATAATAATCCACACAGGGGAGAAACCGTATTCATGCAACACCTGTGGGAAAAGATTCTGTCGGGCATCAGATCTGAAAGCTCATATACGAATCCATTCGGGTGAGAAGCCGTACTCTTGCAACACCTGTGGGAAGCATTTCAGATCAAGCAGTCAATTGACAGGCCACATGAAAACCCACACGGGTGAGAAGCCGTATTCTTGCAGCACCTGTGGGAAGAGATTCCCTCAACCATCATTACTGAAGGCTCATGTAAGAATCCACACAGGTGAGCGGCCGTATTTGTGCAAAACATGTGGGAAAGATTTCAGAGTCAGCAGTGCCTTAAAATTCCACATGAGAACTCACACAGGAGAGAAGCCGTATACATGCAAAATATGTGGGAGAGCCTTCAGAGTCAGCGCTCACCTGATAGGCCACATGAAAATCCACACAGGTGAGAAGCCATATTCTTGCAACACCTGTGGGAAAGACTTCAGGCGTAGCAATGAATTGACACTTCACATAAAAAGAAACCATTAACCTCATTTTTTTCTTATTATTACTGCAGTGCTCATATTCCTACAATCAGTATTTCTTTGAAACAATATTAATCTCCCAAATCTTTGAAAAGACTTTGTATATAATACTGAATTCAACCTGAAGTCTGAAGCTGTGAGCAAATTCTGTTCATCAAGCTGCAGATGGGTGTGACTGTCTGACATCGGTTGCCACATTGGATATCCACTACACATTCACTTAGGATCCAGAGATGTCAGTTACACGCCATGTAGGCAGCAGGAGGACGGTTAGCACATCTCCAAGTGCTAAACAGGTGGGGTGTGACTGAGGGACCATAAATATGTTACTGTTGAAAACTGTTTTTCTCAATGCCTTCATGCTGACTTCCCCATATTAGTGAAAACTGATTAAAAACATTTGCACACTTGTTTGGGTTTTTAATGTGTAATTCATTTATTTGACATAAATGTTTATAAAGAAAATAATGGCAGCATACATGTAACATATCAGTACCTGTTCAGTATCTGTTCAGTTTTTTGGAAGGAAATACACTTTAATCACACAGTTCCTTTCATCAATATGTGTGTTACTTTTAAAATGAAATGGTGTCTTTAAGCCCAAGTAAATTTAGGTGTCCAGTAAACTCATATTTGTTGGACACTCTTTAACGCAACAAACTATAAAGTGTATTTATTGAGATCTGTTTTTGAGGAATAATACAAACTATTTTTTTATCTTTTGGTGTATTCTCGAAATTGCTATTGAAGTTACCATTTACAGTGTAGTTTGTAAAACCACTGAATAACAATTACTTTATTGGATATGATTAAGTTAATTTTTGTTGTTTGAATGCTATCACCATTATTTCAATAAATTTAAAATGTATAAATTATGAGAAAATACTTATTTAGCCCACTACTGTTTCCAAGTTATTCTCCTCATCTCTTCAGGTGCTTGAAAATTTGCTTTTGATACTGCTTTTTATTACGGTGAGAATAGTGTTAGTGTAGTGTTGGCTCTGGAGGTTGCTCCCGCTGAACACCCGGGGCGAGCTTAGGATCAGGATAAGGTGTCTTTTTATTTATTTATTTTTTTATTTATTTTAATTCAGTAAATGTAATGCACTTCCACATATATAACTGTTTAACAGTATGTTTACATGTAGAAAAAAGGCATGTTAAATCTAAATGTATGGGGAAACTCGATTTTAATATTAAACCTAAATGCAAAATCTAATCATTAAAAAAAATGTTAATGTAAATACTGAAAGTCTGAATACTGAAAATCTGAAAGTTAAAATAATATTTCAATGTTTTTTCTAATCTAAATATTAAATTTTAATACTAAATCTAAATGTTCATTCTTTTTCCATAGAGCTTATTAGGGGCTGGGCAGGCAGTCCTGCCAGGACCCTCTTGTTTTCCTGCTCATTGTTTCTTCTTCTTCTGAGGAAATCCTACTTCCCATGCACGAAAAATCACCAAATTTTGCACAAAGGTCCAGTCCTATGGCAGATTGTCTCAGCTGCAAACACAAGCCAATAGTCCTGATGGTCGCGCTACAGCAAGCGCCTAAAGCTCAAAACTTTGAAAATTCACAACAAATTGAACGTATGTGCTACAGCTTCGCAACTTTTACCAAAATGTAGCCCCAATACTGAAGAAACTTTTGTACATTTAAACCTATTGCAAATTTTGAAGTCCATCACTCTGTTTTGTTTTGTTTTTGTTTTTTTTCAAAAAAATGTAAAATTTCTTAAACCTATCTCCTCCCACAATTTGTGCTCACTTGACACCAAACTTGCTTCAGAGCATCTCCAGACAGTCCTCCACAAACTGTCCTCAGAGATTTGTGATTTACCAAAAATTGAGCCAACAGCGCACCAAGATATTTGACTGTAAACAGTACTGTGAACATATACTTGCAAATTATTGCTAAATAAGTTTTCAATGTTCATGAAAAAAAAAAAATTGCAGTCATGGTAGATAATGTTTGGCAAATATCAGAAATCAAAAAATTCTTATGTGAACCATTGCTGTCAACGGGGATAGAGCATCTTTACACATCCGTTTTTCACTTATGGAGTAAATCAATCATTGTTCAAAACAAATTAACAACACCTCCATGCTGTCTAGATGCAAGATGTGTATTTTCAGATTTCTGTCTTGATAACTGAATTGATGACAGCAGTCTGAAATCTGCATTGACAGCTGCTGTCATCCTGGTGGCTGGCTTAGTCAATTTGTGCAGCCACAGAAGAGTTATCACTTGCTAATTAGCTTAGTCAGATACAAGATGTTCCTTGGTGTCAGAGGTTGTGAGTTCAAACTTCAGCTGATGCAAACTGTACATTGTAATGGCAACTTTATTGTTGTCTTCCTATTCTGCCTCTTGTTGCTCAGAATTGCCTGAAATTGCGTGGCCCAGACCACCTATAATTTTTTAATTCGTTTTCATCAACAACAATACAGTGTATACATTTCTTTTTTTTCAGCTGTACATAACATTTGTACACATTTTATTCAAGAATTACATAAACATAAGAAGAAAACAGCACAGACATCCACTCCAACGTGTAAATAGTCAAACCCACTGATTAGGAAAAAATGAAATATAAAAAAGGGAATGAAAAATAGTAGTAATAATTGTCTACATTATACTCACACAGATAAAGTCGAGGTGCAAACTTTGCTTCACACACTATGACATATAATGTATGTATGTGATGTGTGCATGGAAACAATATCAATGAAAGAGTACCAAATTATGTTGTGGAATTAACCGATGTGGTTTAACACCTTGATGTTAAAGCATTAAACACAGGTTTTGAATAGATAGAAAGCCATCAGCTGAAAGCGGAAAGAAAAAAAAATCACTTCCACTGTCGGAACTTAAAAGTGTGACACATAGCGGAAGTAAACAACACACCCGCTGTCAGCGCTAGCTTAATGGATGTGTTAGCTTGAAGATGATATTGTAGTCGTACCGCAGATGATTATTTAAATTCTTATTAAATAACAATGTCTTCAGTTGAGTATTTGAGAGAGTTTATAAACGAGAGACTAACTGCAGCTGCTGAAGAAATATTCGGAGTTTTCCAAAAAACTATCGTGGAGTATGAAGAAGAGATCGACCGTCAGAGGAGACTGTTGGATATCGTCTGGAAACCTCAAATAAAGTTACACAGCATTGGTGCGTAGAACTTGTTCTTTGCAATACTAATATAAGAGTATGACATATAGGGTCATTACAGTCTTAATGCACACTTTTTTTATTGATATGCTCAGATGTCTGTGTAGCTACCATCACAGTGACGTTAGCATCCTGTTCCTTCTGTTGTGTGTCCCTCCAGAGCTCCCACAGCAACATGTCTGTAAGGAGGAGGAGGTTCTCTCTGACCAGCAGCTCTGTGTTCAGGAGAGGAACTCCAGTCTGGACCAAGAG